GGGTGGCGCAGCGGTTTGGCGCCTGCCTTTGGCCCAGGGCGCGATCCTGGAGACCCGGGATCGAATCCCACGTCGGGCTCCCAGTGCATGGAGCCTGCTTCTCCCTCTGCCTGTGTCTCTGCCTCTCCCTCTCTCTCTCTCTCTCTCTCTCTCTCTCTCTCTGTGACTATCATAAATAAATAAAAAATAAATAAATAAAATAAAATAAAATTTGCTTCCAAAATGGTTTCAAAGAAGCTTATAATATTTTTTTTTGTCAGGATTCACAAAACTTTATCCATTTAGAATTAACAAGCTGTTTACCTATCACTTAGGTAAGTTTCACAAGCTTATAGGACCTTGGACTATCTTTGAAGAATTATTTTGATTTGTATGAAGTTCAAAACTTTGTGTACAGTATGTTATTTTCTCTGTAAGTAAACAATAAGCAGTCTGAATTATCACAGGAATTCCAAAACTGAGTATTTTTTAATAATTAGCGTGGTAAGATTTATTATTTACACAGTTTTTTTTTAAGATTTTATTTATTTACTCATGAGAGACAGAGAGAGAGAGAGAGAGAGAGAGAGAGAGAGAGAAAGGCACTGGCTGAGGGAGAAGCAGGCTCCATGCAGGGAGCCCGACGCGGGACTCGATCCCGGGTCTCCAGGATCAGGCCCTGGGCTGAAGGAGGCGCTAAACCGCTGAGCCAGCCGGGCTGCCCTGTTTACACAGTTTTAATCTGTCAAACCCATTAGCGCTAAAATAATGAACTAAAATTACATGACATCTCACTTGCTAAAGCCAAACACAGTCAACTCTCACATGCATGTTTGAAAGTGGGAGACCAGCAGTGCATGTCAGCAGAAACAGCATGTAATCTTATGCTACATGGTTTCGATAATTTATAAAATATCTTTTAAAATTTTTTATTGAGGGATGCCTGGGTGGCTCAATGGTTGAGCATCTGCCTTCAGCTCAGGAGGTGATCCCAGGGCAGCCCGGGTGGCTCAGCAGTTTAGTGCCGCCTTCAGCCCAGGGTGTGATCCTGGAGACCCAGGATCAAATCCCACGTCAGGCTCCCTGCATAGAGCCTGCTTCTCCCTCTGCCTGTGTCTGTGCCCACCCCCCCGCCCTCTGAGTCTATCATGAAAAAATAAAGTCCTTAAAAAAAAAAAATAAAAGGACGTGATCCCAGAGTCCCGGGATCGAGTCCCACTTCGGGCTCCCCACAGGGTGCCTGCTTCTCTTCCCTCTGCCTATGTCTCTGCCTGTCTCTCTCTCTCTCTGTGTCTTTTGTGAATAAATAAAATCTTTTAAAAAATTTTTTATTGGGATCCCTGGGTGGCGCAGCGGTTTAGCGCCTGCCTTTGGCCCAGGGCGCGATCCTGGAGACCCGGGATCGAATCCCACGTCGGGCTCCTGGTGCGTGGAGCCTGCTTCTCCCTCTGCCTGTGTCTCTGCCTCTCTCTCTCTCTCTCTCTCTGTGATGACTATCATAAATAAATAAAAAAAAAGAGTCTGAGATCTTTGTTTAAAAAAAAAAATTTTTTTTATTGTAGTTGACACACAATATTACATTCGTTTCAGGTGTAAGAGGCTTATGCTATTAACCAGCTCAAAATTTTAAATTTTATTTTTTAATAAAGATTTGATTTATTTATTTGAGAGAGAGAGACAGAGAGAGCTAGAGGGAGGGAGAGAGACTAAGCAGGGGGAACAGGAGCAGGAGAGGGAGAAGCAGACTCCCTGATGAGCAGGGAGCCCAATGCAGGACGTGATCCCAGGTAACTGACTGAGCCATTCAGGCACACCAAAATTTTAAATTTTAAAAAATGACCAGAATGAGGGCACCTGGGTAGCTCAGTGGTTGACCATCTGCCTTTTGGCTCAGGTCGTGATCCTAGAGTCCTGGGAACGAGTCCCACATCGGGCTCCCCACAGGGAGCCTGCTTCTCCCTCAGCCTATGTCTGCCTCTCTGTCTCTCATGAAAAAACAAATAAAATCTTAAAAACAACACAACCAGAATGAAAAAGATAAACTAAATTCCTGTAATTAACTAGTTACTGTAACTGAATAGTAAATTTTTATTTGAGCTGCCTCGAAACCTATATAGGAGATATATTTTCATTATTAAATAAAAGAAGGTAGACAAATACTTCTGGAAATAAAAAGCTTTTTCAGGTACTGGGCCATATCTGAATTCAAAAATTCTTATGAAAAGTAACATAGGAGTATCCATGGTAGACACTATCTCCGACATTTCAGTTACATAAAAACATTCATCTGAAATTTGAAGATATTAGGAAAATAAAGTTTTCCATTCTTGATTTTTATCAGCGTGAAGGTAACCTTAAATCATCAAGGCTAGAACCCAGATATCCAGACAATAGGCCTAATAATATTCGAACGAGCCACTTCACTCATGGCTGCCTTAATTCTCAGGAGTAACTAACTTGACAATATTCTGTCAGGTGAAGGGACAGGGATAGTTTTACCTTAGGCCCTAGATGAGACCAAGAGAATAAAAGAATTGATGAGGTTCTACTGTCTAGGCCTTTTTTGCTGCTGCCTCCACAATCCCATGGATATTCTTCCATATTTGGTGCTTAGAACTACCTTTTACTTTCCTTTTTGTCCCTTGGAGAATAATGCACCCTCACCACCTCTTCAACCAGAGTCTCTAAGAGAAATATTCCCCAAACTGTATATCCAGTTCTGGCAAATTCCTAGGAAGGCCATGTTAAATAATAAGTCAACCACTATTTTGACTTAGAAATTCTCTCTTAAAATATAACAGTATTTCTAAAAGCAATCTCCCTCGTAAAACCAGTTACTGCCAATGGCACCATAATTCTCCTACACTCAAATCAAACATCTTGTAATTATCTTTGATTTCTCACTTTGCTCACATCCCTTTCCTAGATAACATCCTTAGTCCCCATATCCTATTCTCTTTTGAAGTCTTTCCATCCTCTCCCTTTGCCATCCTTCCTCTTCCTATTTCAAATCCTTACCACTTTATAGCTGGACTGTCACAAAAGGCTCTCACCTGATCTGCTTCTGCCCATATTTATCCTCTACGCTTGCCAAAATAAACTTAGGTTTTGTTGTAATCCTGTTAACAGCCAAGTTCAAAACCATCCCGTGGTTTTCCAGTATCATCAGGAAAAAGTCTAAACTCTTCAGCATTTATTTCAAGACTCTGGAAACCTCTCCTAAGGGAATCTTTGCCATCTTATCACCCTTGACTCAGTCTCTGTAAAGCTTACTTACCACCACTCTCTGAAGTCCCCTGCTCAGGCCTGCTATTCTCATGGTGGGACCCCAACTGAATTTATTTCCTTTACTATTCCAGTGAAATTCTAGCTACAGGGCCGCTCAGGTGGCTCAGTGGTTTAGCGCCGGCTTCAGCCCAGGGCATATCCTGAAGATTCAGGATCAAGTCCCACATTGGACTCCCTGCATGGAGTCTGCTTCTCCCTCTGCCTGTGTCTCTGCCTCTCTCTGAGGCTCTCATGAATAAATATAAAATCTTAAAAAAAAAGAAAAAGAAAGAAAGAGAAATCCTAGCTACAATTCCAATTTCTACTTACTTTAGTTTTACTTCCTCCTCTTTGAAATCCTCTACTCTGAGTAGATGCAGTACTGGTGTCTCCCTTGATTCAAGAAATACTTTCAAATACTTAAGCACTATAGGGATATGAATAACACAACTATTCCTGGCTCCCTACCAGCACTACTTATTAAGCACTTAAAATATGCTTGACATGGCACTAAAAACTTTATACCTACCACCTAATTTGATCTTTACAGAAATTCTGTGAAGTACTACATGATTTTACAGACTAGGACAATGAGGCTCAGAGAGGTTAGGTAACTTTCCTGGGACGAGAGGTAATGGGTCTGCTACCTATCATTGTGCACTATTGCAGTGAGCCATGAACTGTACAGTTGTGTGATTATCCAGAGAAAAGCTGGTGGGTGAAAACATAGGATAGTCTAATTCCACAGACTATGCTCTTAACTGTTATATTATACTGCCTCCCCATGGATCCAGCCGGCAAGGAAATGACAATCTGAATTTCAGTCACTTTCACCACCTCATTTTTCAAAACCACAAAATGAGATGCACTATTAGCAAAATAGAAAATTTAAAAGCAAGGTATCTTAAAAAGCTTAGAACATGTGGACGTTATACCTATGTTATTTACTAATAAATTTTTTGAGGCTCTTCCTGTTATTTCCTGAATATATATCTAACTTTCCAGAAAGTAGAGCTGAAGTTGGGAATGAAATTCCTCCATAAAAGCCTGCTGAGCCTTACTTCGCTTACTAGGCAATGTCAAAGGCAACACTAAAAATCAGACCAGTTGATCTTTACTGTCTTGATGTTTTCATCTTAAACAAGACTCTATACTTCTTAGCTACTTAATTTCTGCTTTCTTTTCCTAAAGACATCCACCTTCATTTGCTGTTTCCCTGTCCTAATTTCCAGTTTCCCACCTCCAAACTTTCCCTCATTCCCACCCACAAACATTTTGCTGTACTTTCCCAGCAATAAAAGGTGCCCCAATTGACTGCTGATTCCTCCTTACCAAATTACCATACCTCATTTAGCATCCCATACTTGGTCTGCCCTATTGTTAGAGTTACAGCTTTATCACTATGTACTTAACATGTTTTGCAATTCTGCAACTATAGCATAGTGACCCCAGTTTCAGGGTGTCAATAATGACTACACAGGAAAATACTTTAAAACCTTCATTAGGGGCACCTGGGTGGCTCAGTTGGCTCAGGTCATGATCCCCAAGTACCAGGACTGAGCCCCAAGTCAGGCTCCCCCTGCACAGCTGGGTGGGAGTCTTCTTCTCCCTCTGCCTCCTCCCCCACCCCCCAACTCATGCTCGCACTCTCTCAAATAAATAAGATCTTAATAAAAATAAAAAATAAAACCTTCATTAAAGGGCACTTATGATTCATACACATTCTATACTTTGGCTTACTCTGAAGCACTCACGTTATTATTGTGAAGATATTCAATTGCTTGAAGGATCTGGAAGAGGTATTTTCTAAGTCGTTTACTCTCTAGTCCATGACAATAATGTTGTAACTCATCTAATATTGTGTGGTCAATAAATTCAAACACCAAATGAATTTTCTTTTTCTGTCTAAAAACTTCAATCAGATTGACCAGGTTTTCATGACGAAATTGCTATTGGTAAAAGAAACAGATTTATAATAAGTTATTTTGTGAACAGTAATTTGTACATATAATACCCATACAATTTTTAAAAGCAGAAATACCCTCAGCCTATTTTACTCCATGCATTTCAGTAAAAAACTTTTGACTTATTTGTTTACATTCGTATCTTTTAAAATGCTAAACTAGGGGTGCCTGGCTGGCTCAGTCAGAAGAGCATAGAACCCTTGACCTTGCAGTCATGAGTTTGAGTCTCACGTTGGGTAGAGATTACTAAAAAAAATAAACTTAAAAAAATGGTAAAATATTTCATAATTAATATGTATAGAACAAGGGGAGATGTGTTGCCTTACTTCAAGTTGCCATTTGATTGTTTATTAAAATAATTTGTGGAGTTAACATACTATAATGCAACTTGGTATGCTGTTAAGACATCTTTTTTTTTTTTCTTTATTTGAAAGAGAGAAAGAGAAAATGCACAAGCAGGAGGGACAGGGGCAGCCCTGCTGGCCCAGCGGTTAAGCGCCACCTGCAACCCAGGGTGTGATCCTGGAGACCTGGGATGGAGTCCCACGTTGGGCTCCCTGCATGGAGCCTGTTTCTCCCTCTGCCTGTGTCTCTGCCTCTGTCTCTCTCTGTGTATCTCTCAGAGATGAATAAATAAATAAAATGAACAATGAATAAATAAATAGTATCTTAAAAAAAAAAAAGGAGGAGGGACAGGAGAGGGAAAGAGCGAATCCCAAGCAGGCTCGGCACTGAGCATGGAGCTCCATGTGGAGCTCAATCTCACAACTCTTGAGATCAACCTGAGCCAAGAAGACCAAGAGTCAGACCCCTAACTGACTGCATAACTCAGGTGCCCCAAGACATATCTTTCTATCCTTTAACTCGGTTCATACTTAAATTTAACATTTGAAATTTAAGATGTTCTTTAGATGCCTAAGTGGCTCAGTAGTTGAGCATCTATCTTCAGCTCAGGGCGTGATCCTGGGGTCCTGGGATCAAGTCCCACATCAGGCTCCTCACAGGGAGCCTGCTTCTCCCTCTACCTATGTCTCTGCCTCTCTCTGTGTGTCTCTCATGAATAAATAAATAGAATCTTAAAAAAAAAAAGCTTCAAAAGGTCAAAATAGAATTTATCAGCTTAGAAAAAAATGAGATTCAGTATTTTATTCTGCCCACTTTATTTTTTAACACACTAATTTAATTTTTACCAATCTCAAATATTTAACATTTTCAAATTACCAAAAATGTTTACTCATTTGACTAAATATTGAGATATATTTTTAATGTTAGATTCATTACAAAATTATACTTTTTATGAAAAAATATTTGTCTGTATTCTAACAGTAAAACATCCATTTTTCTATTTATCTGTACTCAACATAGATCAAGGTTCTTAAAATATGACTAAAAGAAAAACATGCCAGAATATAATGCCAGATTCCTTTCCTATTTTTGCTCCCAATTTCTCTGGTTGGCAAGATGCCAGCATGCTGCAGTGACACCATGCTAGCTGCAGCAAAAAACAACTGACTGCTTTTGGACACTACACTACTAATCCTTCAACCAAGGAAAATTACTGGTTCCCTGTCCAGTCTTTTTTTTAATTTTTTCCAGTCTTTATTTTAAAGGTTAAAGCAAAGAAGAGTTAACGTGAGTTAGTAAGGATTACAGAAGATCCCCCAAAGTAAGGCATCAGGTACTTCCTCAGATTAACCATGAAGGTCCTAGAAATCCTCCATTGCTCCAAACGTCGTTTACTTTTGTTTTCCTTCATTACCAGACAACTTTTCCACAGATATTTTCACTACTCTAACTGTAATCTATTTAATAGAACTCTAGCAAATGAAAATTTAATACAAATGAAGTCATTATGGCAACCTTTTTAGACTAAAAAAAAAACACATTAGGAATCTATTAGAGGTCCCCCTTAGTAACATGTTTATGGATCTATGTCCTCAGGCAAGGGAAACAAAAGCAAAACATAAATTATTGGGACTACACCAAAGTAAAAAGCTTTTGCAAAGCAAAGGAAACCATCAACAAAACAAAAAGGCAACCTACTGAATGGGAAAAGATACTTTAAAATGATGTATCAGCTAAGGGGTTAATATCCAACATATATGAAAAATTTACACAATTCAGCACTAAAAATGATAAACACTATTTAAAAAAATGGGTCAAGAACCTGGATAGACATTTTTCCAAAGAAGATATACAGATGGCAAACAGATACATAAAAGATGCTCAACATCACTAATCATCAGGGAAATGCAAATCAAAACCACAATGAGATATCACCTCACACCAATCAGAATGGCTAGTACTAAAAAGACAAGAAAAGGGACGCTTGGGTGGCTCAGCAGTTGAGCATCAGCTTTTGGCTCTGGGTGTGATCACAGAGTTCTGGGATCGAGTCCCACATCAGGTTCCCTGCAAGGAGCCTGGTTCTCCCTCTGTCTCTGTCTCTCTCTCTGTGTCTCTCATGAATAAATAAAAACAATCTTAAAAAAAAAAAAGAAAAATAACAAGTGTTGGCAAAGATATGGAGGAAAGGGTACCCTGTCAGGGGAGGGGACTATAAGTTAGAGCAGCCACTATGGAAAACAGTATGAGGGTTGCTGAAAAAATTAGAAGGAGGGATGCCTGGATAGCTCAGTGGTTGAGCGTCTGCCTTTGGCTCAGGGCGTGATCCCAGGGTCCCGGGATAGAGTCCCACATAACGCTCCCCAGAGGGAGCCTATGTCTCCCTCTGCCTGTATCTCTGCCTCTCTCTGTGTCTCTCATGAATGGATAAATAGAAATCTTAAAAAAAAATTAGAAGGAGAAATACCAAATGATCTAGTCATTCCATTATTGGGTATTTGCCCAGAGAAAGTGAAAACACTAATTCAAAAAGATACATGCACTCTTACATTTACTGCAGTGTTATTTGCATAGCCAATATACAGAAGCAACGTAAGTATCCATCCACAGACAATGAGCAAAGAAAATTTGGTATGTGTATACATACACACACACACACACACACACACACACGTATACACAATGGAATATTAGTCAACCATAAAAAAGGATGAGTTATTTTTTTGCCCAGTGTATTTTAAACCGAATGGCTCAAACAACTCTGAGGTCAGGAGTTGCATGCTCTACTGACTGAGCCAGTCAGGTGCCCCCAAAAGAATGAGATCTTAACATTTGAGACAACATGGATTGACTTAGAAAGTAGTACACTGTGAAATAAGTCAAAGAAAGACAAATATCATATGATTTCACTTACATGTGGAATCTAAAAAACATAAATGAACATACAAAAATCAAACAGACTCTTAATTACAGAAAACAAACTGGAGGTTGCCAGAGGGGAGGAGAGGGATGGCAGTGGGTAGGTGAAATAGATAAAAGGGAAACTTTCAGTGACAAAACTAAAAAGTCACAGAGATGAAAAGTACAGCACAGGGAATATGGTCAATAACATTGTATGGTGACAGATGACCACTACACTCATCATGATGAGCACTCAGTAATGTATAGAAATGTCAAATCATTACTTTGTATACCTGAAATTAATATAACATTGTATTTTAATTCTTCAATTATAAAGAGGTGAATATTACTTTTGTATCAGATAAAAATGAAAGAGTATTTGTTTTCTTCACCATGTAAAACATTTAGCCTATGTTGTCAAAATCATAAACCTTAAAGCATGTAGATAGATTCTAATAAATAAAATATGTAGATTTAAGTATTTACTTAATCACTAGTTTTGTACCCCAAGGAATGTTAATGCTTCTTTCTTCACACTCCTGAGTTCTTTCCCAAGTTGACGTGTCATACCTACACAATATTCTATTTTCCTCCCCATCTCTAAAAGTATTCTAGTTAGCTTTACTTAAATGTATTCTTTGTCATCTGAAATTCAGCATTTCTAAAACTGAAGTAATTCCCTGACCATTCCTTGTTTGGGTCTTTCATAGCTCCATCAGTGAGAACAGTCACTGAACTTCACTAATTCTTTTGTCTTCCTCTTTCTGTCTCCTTCTACATTCTTTCATGTCTTCTTTTGCAATATATTCTAACTTTGCTTTTCTAACTTTAAATTCAAATTGCTGCAATCCAGCAAGGGCTCTCATGATATTTACCAGGATTCTTTTATTTTTCTTTTAAGATTTTATTTATTTATTCATGAAAGACACAGAGGAGAGAGAGGGGCAGAGACAAGGCAGAGGGAGAAGCAGGCTCCATGCAGGGAGCCCGATGTGGGACTCAATCCCAGGACTCCAGGATCATGCCCTGGGCCAAAGGCAGGCACTAAACCACTGAGTCACCCAGGGATTCCCAGTCACCCAGGGATTACCCACCAGGATTCTTGAATTAAACTTACAAGAGACCTCTTTTTTTTTTTTTTACAAGAGACCTCTCTATTTTTACTCTGTGTTCCAATCTTTTTTTTTTCCAGTGTTCCAATCTTTTCCAAAAGGTAGTTCTATATTAATATGCATAGTTGATTTATTTTGAATTTAAAACCTTCCATGTCTTACAAAATCAAATTTTGTCCCTTTAAGACAAGACTTTAAGCCCTAAATCTAGGGGCACCTGGATGGCTCAGTGGTTGAGTGTCGGCTTTTGGCTCAGGTTGTGATCTTGGGGTCCTGGGATCGAGTCCTGCATTGGGCTCCCCACAGGGAGCCTGCCTCTCCCTCTGCCTAGGTCACTGCCTCTTTCTGTGTGTCTCTTATGAATAAATAAATAAAATCGTTTACAAAAAAATAAAACCTAACTCTAGTTTACTTCTCTAATCTCACCTCTTTCTACTTCTGTACAAAAACTCTACAGCCCAATGTCTCTGCTCTCTGTCCTCTGTCCTGCTTGAGCATCTCTAAGTTTATATTGTTCCTCTAACCTAGAATACAATAGTTTTTCCCTCCTACCTAAATTGTGCACATCCTTTAAGGCCAAATGCATGTCCCACTTCCTCCATGAAAATTTCTCTACCCAACTGGACTTTGTTAATCACTTGGCATTTATTATGAGTCACTTTTTATTCAATATTGTTGTCATGTGCCCTCCCATCTTTCTTTTGCCACACTATAATCTCAGCATCTGGCAAAATGCCTTACATGAAGCAGGTATTCTTATTAATAACTATACCTGGATATTTCTGAATAAATATTTCATAATATTTGGCAAAGCTTTTGTTACATTATATAGAAGCATAAACATCTTGTATCACTTTAAAATTCCAAAATATAGACAATAAGATAGGGTACTACACTTCTTTTCCCCCTACTGTGTCTTGATACATGCTACCTAAAAGATTCCTCATATAATTTTCTGTTTCAGAGATCCCTGGGTGGCTCAGCGGTTTAGCGCCTGCCTTTGGCCGGGGGTGAGATCCTGGAGACCCGGGATCGAGTCCCACGTCGGGCTCCCTGCATGGGGCCTGCTTCTCCCTGTGCCTCTGTCTCTGCCTCTGTGTGTCTTTCATGAATGAATAAATAAAATATTTAAAGGAAAAAAAAATCCTGTTCCATTAACAATTCCTCTTTTGACTTACACCAACGAAGGTAAAAGAAGCAAACCTTTAAAAACTTTATTTCTCTTGTTGCAATTTTGTTGACAGATTTCTCCGGTTTCTCGTAAAATATCTTAATGGCCACTATCTGCCCAGTATCCTTATGTTTACACTTCATGACTGTTCCATAACTTCCCTCTCCCACTTTTCCGAGGGTTTCATACATCTCCATTTTCAAGCCCGGATTCTTCTTCATAAAAAGAAAGGGGAAAAAAAAAGTTAGACATTTGTACGTTCATGCATACAAGCTGGCCAATGCATCTCCACAATAAACCCGTATTTTGACATTTGTGAAAGCGAAAACTGTTCTTTTTCCACAGACGGTCGCTCGTCTTGGGGAACTCCGCCAACGAGGCAGGAGGGTGTCTGTGTGGGGCTGCACACCTCACAGCCACGAGGGGGCTTCCTGTTGCCTCAGGCATCCCCGTCCACACGAAGGCTTCAGAGCCCCTCACTACGTGCCACCTATCCATCAGGAGCGTGGTGCGCACACCTCCTGCCATACCCCGGTCAAAAGCAGGGTTTCCGAAAGACGGAAGTCACCTACAGCTCCGGCCCCCGGACCCAGGAAAACCTCAGCCCCACCGGCTCCTCAAACCCGACGTCTTATGGTCCCGGGCCAGTGTTGCGCTGCGCCCCTTCCCCCGCAGCCGACCTCGTCCGGTCAAGCCGCCGACTTCTCAGCCCATTTTGTAGCCCCGCCGGCCTGGCTCCGCGCAGACCCGGCGGAACAACCGGACACCGAGGCTTCTGAGCTGGCGAGCCCCGCTAGCTTCCGGCAGCCCGCTACCATGGCAACGGCGCCGCAGACCCCGCGCTCGGGACCTACTGCGCAAGACAGGAACATCCGCCCGGCCCGACCCGACCCGACCCGACCCGGAAGAGAAAATCATAAAGGGTTGAAAACGAGCTGCCGGTGGGCTTAGGCTCAGGGAAAGCTTTCTGGGGGTCAGGGTGGGGATTATATGGGTTGAGACCAACTTACAAGGTTGGTTTTGAGTTTTGAGCAGAGGTGAGGGGAGGATCCACATTTTACTGCCCCGAGAGTCTGTCTCCTAGAGAAGGGTGGAGGCTTGCTCCCAGGCCAAAGAACAATGTGCCGCAGGTGCTGGGTCCTAAAAGGATGGCTTGAGTCGTGAAATAGAGATACACTGTAAAACAAGTCTTCCGAGGAAGTCTTGTGTAATTACGGTCGTCTAAGTTACCTATTTATATATTAATATTCCATAGACCTGAGTTCGACCACAGGGGTCGGCATTCACCTTTAAGACGGGGTTAAGACGGTTCTTAATGTTTCTTGAACACTTGCTATATGCTTAGAAATTTTTTCGAACTCGTAGTACTCCTTTTTAAAAACGCCCTCCTTGAGAAAACAAACTGACATAAAAGGACACAGCAAAGGGGGGATAAACATTATCTAATTGCTTAAAAACTAGATATGGGGTTCTGCTGGCCTGACAGCCTCCATACACTGTGAGATTCCAGAACAATTATACATTGCTAGCTAATGACCCAATAGGGATATTTTTTTGAAGATTTTCTTTGGCATTTTACTGCATACATACTGACCCGTATGTCTTCATCCTTAGCTATGGTGAGAATTAGGATCGCTACTGTGGGAGGCAAAAGATGAGAATATTCAGCTTTTAACTTACAGAATTTCATTTGTGGATGCATCGCAGAACCTATCAAGAGTTAGGCTTGGCTTACTTGATCACCAATGAAGTTATAAAAGCAAAAGACAGAATTCAGGGTTTTGAGAAAAGGAGGTAGCAAGAAAGTGAGGGGAAATGAACGCTTTCAGTTTCCAGGAAACTATGGGCAACTTGGTGCAACGCTCCCACTATGCCTTGGGCTGAAGAATTACCCAGAAGAATATAAGGTGTTCAGAGTCCTCCAGACCAGCAAAGCCCTGAGGCCAGGAATCGAAGGCAATGGAAGGAGGGAACTCAACACCTCTGAGCAACGTGGTGGACATCTCAGACCCATCTGCACCTTACTTGCTGGTGTAGGAAACCTGAAATGAGTTACCCAGGTTAGCTATGTAACTCCCACCCACGTCTGCAAAATCTCTTCCCCACATCCAAGTTTTTAGGCTTTCTTGACAACCAGCCACCCTTCTAAATGCTTTGTGATCTCATCTCCATGTACCCTATCTTAGCCAGTCATGGACTTTGACACATTTTGACACCAATCCTCAAATGAGAGGAGGCTTATGTTAAAATAAAATTCTGTAATTCCATAGAGATAGTCAACAAACCTTAAGACAATCTCTATACCATTTTTATTTATTTATTTATTTTGTCTTCGGAATTTCCAACCCTGCAAACCCCATTGTGATGCGCATACAGGCTCTTTGGTGGCCTCATGGAAGCATTTCGGGGAATTTTAGTTGGTGTGGGCCTCAACATTTCAATGCTGGGCTAATTATAAAAAACAGAGGTTCCCTCACTCTGCCCCATGTACCAGATTTGATAAGCCACTGAATCAACCAGAAAAGATTTTAAGTCCGTATTACTTTGAGCTGTTTTTAAAACTTAAGCAAAACAAGCTTTTGCTTCCGCCACGACCGCCGACCCTTTTCATGAAACAAACTGGAGGGAAAACTTAGTAAAGACACATACCCGCCCTCAACCCCATAAGCTTAACTACCCGCTCCATAGACCTGAGGCTCAGATTCAGACGACACTTTCACGTGATCCGTTCCAACCTCGTCATAGGGACACGTGGTTCTAGATACTTCGTCCCCTCCCCCTCAGGGGTGGATTGTTGACAACGCCGCCGGCGGTCACGTGACCTTACGTCACCCCACCTCCTTTCCCTGAAATCTCTGGCCCCGGATGCGGCTCTCTGTCCCCACCCGGTCGAGTTTAAACTACTAAAAGGGGGAGGCATAGGATGGTGTTTCGGTTTCGGGGTCTCTTAATCCACAACCTCCAATCAGAGAACAGAGAGGACTAATTTATCTATTAGATTAGGAAGCCAAAATTGATAGAGCCCTGCCGCAGAGCTCCCAAAACGCGTCTAGACGCCCCGTGCCCTTCTCCCCCAACCCCCTCACCCGTGGTACTGGCGGAGGGCGGAGGGATCTGGAGGCGGCGGAGGGAGACGTCATTGCAGGGTTGTTTGTGCAGCCTCGGCGGCGGCGGTGACCCACAGTGATTCGGCCGCCGCGCCGGGGGGTGGGGGGGCTGCGCGGGACTCTTTTCTTTCAGACTGACCGCGGGGCAGCTGGGGAGCATGTCGACTCCGGCCCGGAGGAGGCTCATGCGGGATTTCAAGCGGTAAGGGCGCTCACCTCCGCCTGGATGACGGCTCCTCCCCACAGCTATGGGGCTGCAGGGCGGGGATCCGGGACACCTTCCTCTCCTAACCCTAAGAGGGCCTCCTCTGGGCCCAGGGGTCCCGAAGGAAGCCCAGCCCTAGTCCTGGTTCGCACTCCTTCATCCTTGCTCATTCTGCCGACGTAAGAAATTTCGGTACCCCCTCCCCCAAAAGTAAAGAGATGGCTATGGTTTGTCCTAGGGCTCCCCGGTGCCCACTTGGGTCAGCCCCCCGACGTCTAGTCCTAGAGCTCAAGCTTCATTTCCCCTTCCTCCGTCCCCCAAAAGCAAACCCTTGCAGAGTCATATTCCCTGCTTGCTGCACCAGTTTTGCTGGATGGCCCTGCGGTCTTAGCTGAGGGGCAGGGTTGGGATGAAAAGCGCCCCCCCCTTCTCATTCTCTTTGCAGCGAGGGTGGGGTCTGCAGCGCGAGGTCCGGAGGTTGTTAACCCATCCTCGGAAACCCGACTCTCCCTCGCCGCCCGAAAGGACCTTGAGAACTGGCTTAGAGAGCTGGGACTCGGGCTGGGAGCCCGGGCTGGGCTGCCAGGGCCTTCTGGAACTCAGCTCTGTGGCCTGGTGTCTAAAGCCCTATCTATAGCCTCCAAAGTCTGGAAAAATGCCTTCCTTGAGACTGGCGCTAACCTGATACTCGCTCGGCCTCCTTTTGTAAAATAGGGTTTTGTTAGGAGGTGTTGGGGTTAGTAAGGAGGAAGTGACCTTTTTTTCAGTTTACCTTTGGATACTTGGAAGTACGGAGGCGGAAAAAAAAATAAGAAAACTTACCATTACGATCCACTGCACGTTTTGTGGGGGTTTTGTTGTTTTCCTGGGGAGACCTGCTCTGACAAAATATAGAAACTTGGGTTAGCTGCCCAGGAAGCAACCTTTTAACTTCGCCATTATAAAGCCATAGGTGAGGCATTTGGAAGCCATTGTTTTAGGCTTTGGGCAGTTTATCATTGAATATATTCCTAATGTACCTTCAGTGGGCTAGAAGCAGCATAAATCCATTAAGGCGTGATGTGTTTGAGGTTGACTGGAGAGAACTATTTTTATGTAGACTAATTTCAAAGTATCTTATTTGACAATCACTACATATTGATATCTGTATATAAAATGCTATATTTGTTTTAAAAGTTTGTCTTCTGAAGCTTAAAATCAAATTTCACGTTAGCTCCAAAGAGTGAAATCCAAATAATGAAACTTGGAGTTCGTGTCCATTGTTACTCTGGTTTCTTACTGCCTTTCTCTGTTAATTCTGAATTGAACACATGGCACCTTTGGTAGTTTTCCAAGGGGCTTCAGGTTACAAAAACTTGATTATGACAAGTGTTGGAAGGTAGCTTTGTATCGAGTCTCTTGATAAAAGAGGTAGATTTAGCTGTAGCGCAGATCTTTAAAATAGCGACTGATGAAAAAAACCTAACTGAAGCTTGATTACTTTAAAAGCTACTGCTAATTGAAGCAAATAGGAGAAGGCTACTCTCCTAAAACTAGTTTCCTAATTAAATTGAATATAAGTGTTTTCAGTCATTTAGTGTTTGCCTTGAGGATCCTTTTTTTGGTTTTGGTGGGGGTGGTCATGTTGCACAGGTAGCTCTGGTTTGGAATCAGACCGTCTTTGCATCTTTAGAGCACCAAAAAAGGTGGTCTGTGAAAATCGGACTTGGGGTCTTTAATTTTTGTTGTTGATGGCATTCTGTGTGTATCACTTCTCAAAGGTACATCTTAAGCTTGGTATTCAAAAAAGGATGAGTCCAAAGGCCTTTGGAATTTTAGTCAATTTGGAGAGGTGTTTAAGAAGTAGTATATATGTGGTTGATTTCTTTTTTTTTAAAGTCATATTATTTTCCCCCTAAGCACAAGAACAAGGAAATGGTGTTAAAGTAGGTAGAATAGTCCATAAGGGTTCTCTTTGGCCTTCATAGAGACCTTAATGTTCAACTTTGAAAATTACTACTCTGGATTTCTAGATTGCAAGAGGACCCACCTGTGGGTGTCAGTGGCGCACCATCTGAAAACAACATTATGCAGTGGAATGCAGTTATATTTGGGTGAGTGGAAAGATATAACAAATGATAGGTATAGTAATTTTTTAAGAAAAGTGAATAGCAAGTAGGCAAAGAGGCTGAGGTGGACTTGAGGGCTCTTACAGAAACTGCAAAGTAAATTAGAAAAGAAATTCTGTTAGTTATTTCTGCAGTTAACTAAAATTTGTGTTGTATTATTTATGATTTTACAGTCACTTTGGGTTTTATCTGATAAAAATTAAACAAGAAAAGGTAAATTATTGTACAGAATAAAATGTACCAAGCAAATGTTTATGCTTGCATTCTTTTGGAACTGTAAAAAGACTAAGAACTAAAAAATACCCAGAGCTTCCAGTATGGCAAGAATTCATGAGAAATGTATCACATGTTGTATATATATATAACACTTTTTTTTTTTTTTAATAGAGGCAGGAGTAGAGGGGGGAGAGAG